GTCGATGGTTATGAGCTTGATTGTCGAGAGACTTCAGAGATAACTGCTGTCAAAAACTGGGGACGAAGAATATATTCCCCAAAAACCCAGTGGGAGGATTCCAGAGAAGATCAGGAATTGAAAATCCTCTTCTGTGTGTGTGTGTTGGAAACTGACTGACTAGTTTATTTATTTGATTGTTCATGTATTTGCTTTTTTTATTGATAAATCTTCACGTAGTTGCTTTTGTTGATGAATCAGTTTGATGATGATTTATCAGGTGCTTGAGGATTGTGTTCTAGATCCAGAAACAACAGTGGTGTCTATGTTCCAACAGTGATTTATCTTGATTATATTAGTGTGGTTTCAGATCCATAACATCGGTTGCATTCCACCAGGCACCTGTATTACATTGATTCATTATCAGGAACAAGGTTAAATGCTCAAAGTTCAGTGAATCCGCCATTTAACAAAAAAAAAAATGCCAATCAGCACAATGCTACCTAATTTGCAGAACCCTTGTCTTTTTATAGGGTTGTTTTTAGAAATTTTACAGCAACTGACACTAATTCAGTTTGATGCTTTGTGTAACAATGATCTGCTCCCTCTACAATCTATAATTTATGATTAGTTATAATCTTAGCAAACTCAAGTGTATCTTCAACTGGGATTTACTTGGTCAGCAATTCCATGGATTGTCAAGACCACTAGAAATACATAGCAGGTTGGCAACCACTAACTGATTAGCATCAGCTAAGCATACTAACAATCTAATATACCAGAAAAATGAAAGCAAATAGCTAATTACCAAGACTTTGTCCGTAAATAAAAATGGGTAGTCAATAAATTTTCAAAAAACAATCAGTATTTTATAGTTTATATAATTCCAAGTGAAACCTTTCCTTTACCAAGAAAAGAGAAACCTTATGAAAAAAAACCTAATCCTAATATGTGTTAAGATAAAATGCCATTTAGACAATTCTACAAACACATAATATGCATAGTTTAAAAGTACACTTATCTTCCAAATCCTGTAGGATCAAAACCCAAAAATTTATTACCTATTATCTACCAATTTATTTTGGGAAGCTTACACAATTAACTTCAATTCGCATATATCACCCAAATACTATGATTATGGTCTATTTGGTACAGTGGTTAAAATTCAACGAATAACGGATAGTAGATAACAAATAGCGATAACAGGTTATGAGTAGTGGATGACGGTTAATGGACAGCAGATGATGAATAATGAATATGGATAACGAATAGTAGATTGTGGATTCGATAAATATAACTATTTGGTTATATAATACTTATACAATAGTTAGTGATTGTTGTTTAATATTAAATAATTAATAAAGACATGTTCAAAAACAATTAAGTATATTTTTTTAAA